TGCCCTAGCTCAGCACTCTCCATTTCCTTCTCTTCCAAGAACCAGTGCAGGAACAAAGTCTATTACTAAGAGGGCATCTGCCTACCATTACCCCATAACACTTAGGTGAGCTCTAACAAGAAGAAATTTACAAAATGCATTATTTCACTACTTGTACATTTTAACATGTTATCAGGCACATTAGAATAGCTCCAATGGCCAAATAGCTCAACAAATTACTGACATTGTTAAAAAAAAAAAAAAAATATATATATATATATATATATATATATATATAATGAGAACTAAAATGTACACATAAAACAGTAGTTACAATATGAACATCTACATGTATCCAGTCTGGTACTGGATCTTCTTTTGCTTTTTTCTCTGTGTCCTCTAACCCACAGAACAAACATGGACAAGTAACAACTCCTAGTGTCACCTCTCCAGACAGTCGAAAAAACTCCATTTCAAAAAGTCACATCCAGAAAATGTTTCTTTTCAGTCATTTTTTTAAAACACATGAACGTTTCCAAGATGTGTAGTTTTTAAAATTATTTTGCATAAGTTGGCAACCTCTTCACAATTACACTGTCCACATGCAGCAAGTTTTCTTTTAAAAGATTGGAGGGAATTTTGAGAGCAGTTTTTTCATATTGTATAGGCAGGCTTTCTAAGATGGCCAGTAAATCTTCCCATGGGGCAGTGGGCATTTCCAGTTAGGCCTACATGGGATGTTATTTTCTGTCTCTCTCTTTGGCAGCAGCCTGAGGCCACCAGCCCTTACACCCTTCCTTGGCCTGGGCTTCCTCACCTTCCAGAGCCAGTGAGGCCTTTATTCACCTTTGTGGCCAGGATTTGAGGTCTCCACCAACTTGGACACAGCATTCACCCCATGACCCAGATCTTCACGGTTCTGTAGCCCTAAGTGGTCCAGCTTACAGACCCACCTTCTCGTTCCCTTGATGTTAAGGCCTTATGCAGCCCTCGAAGCCACCAATCTTCTCACCGCTCCACCCTGCAGCTACTGAGAGGTGCCAGGTCCAGGACATTGGTGAGCACTTTGCCTTGGTTAGCAGGGTTGGGGCAGAGACCTTGCAGCCCATTAGATCATCAAGGTGGGGTGGAGGATTGGTTCACGTTGCTTGAAAGCCTGCGTCCAGCCAGTCGGCAGTCACAGCAAGGGACCCAAGAGCCTACGCAGAGGCATGGCCCACCCACGGAGCCCCCAAGTCACCCACCTCCATTGGTGGGAAGAGGTAGAGGACCCTGGAGAAGCAGGCCATGCTCCGTTTCTCACTGCACTCTCCACCCGAACTTGGAAATTTTTATTTTCAAAACACAATGTGATAAACATCAAGTGTCCAAAATATTCCAGGTGTTTTACAGATTGGAGACAAAATCAGCCAGCAACACAAATACACAATATGCATAAATTTGTTGCTAGAGAGGCTGCAGGGGGGAAAAGACCCTTCCTTGTCCACTGCTGGTGGGAATGTAGACTGGTACAACCACTATGGAAATTAGTGTGGAGACTCCTCAAAAACTAGAACTGGAAGTCCAATTCAATGCAACTATTCCCTTTCTGGTTATTTTCTCAAAGGAACTGAAAACATTGTACCACAATGATATATGTTCACCAATGTTTATAGCAGCACAATTTGTCATAGCCATGTCTTGGAAGCAACCAAAATGCCCATCACCTGAAGAATGGATGAAAAAGATGTATTTCTTTTTACAATGGAGTATTACTCAGCTATAAAGAAAAACAAACTCAAAGCCTTCATAGATAAGTGGATACAACTAGAGGCTACACTCATAAGTGAATTAAATCAGACCCACCTGTCTAAATATTGTATAGTCTCCCTAGTGCAAGAACCCGGAAAAAAAAGCTGAAAATTATAGTAGATACAGCAAAACAGAAAGAAACAGAACTTAAGGATTAAATAACAAAGAGGAGAGAAAGGAGAAAAGATAGGGAAAAAAGCAGGGGAAAAACATGCAAGTACATATACAGGATGTCTGAGGTGATTGTCCTAAGGCTTCCCATCACTTTTTGAAAATAGCAATTAATGTGTAGAATTTTCACCTTGACTAACTTTGTATGGGGATATTTGCATCTAGACTACTACATCAAGGACAGCAATGTGGAATACAAAAACCATGCTTGCACACCTGTCATCTTGGTCTTCTAAATGTGTACCATTTCTAATGTCATATCAGGTATTACTATACCTTTCAAAATAATTTTTTTAAAAAGGTACAAAAAAATAGGAAAAAAGGAGAGACAAGAACAAAAATGTAAGCTTTCTTCAAAGGAAGTGGTAATATCCAATCATATGTCCAATGTTACATAACTATATCTGTTAATCTGAACAACAGATTTGTTTTTTATTTTTGAGGAACCAGGGATTGAACTCAGGCCCTGACACTTGCCAGGGAAGCGCCTAGTCCACTGAGCTATCTCCTCAGCCCTGAGCAACAGATTTGATGATAAAAATAGATAATATGTCAACCATTGTTAAACAACTATTCTTGTTTTGAAAATTTGTAACATATGTACTGTTATATGTTCCCTTTTTCCATCTTTCTTTTTCTTTTTTTTTTTTTTTTTTGCGGAAGCAGGCATTGAACTCAGGCCCTTGCTCTTGCCAGGGAAGCACTTATTCTACTGGGCCATCTCCCCAGCCCCTTCTGTCTTGCTCCTGATTTTTGCTCTTGCTTTGGTTTTTACTCTTCAAAATAAAATTAAATTATTTTTTAAAAAATGCCTAAATTTGAAATGATATTTCTCCATAGGAAATATATACACCATCAACAAGCACAAAATAATGTCGTTATTCATAGAGAAACACAAATAAAAAGCACAATGGAGGCGATACTTTTAATAAAGTTTTTTTAAAATATTGAGGGATTGTGAAAAGACATTGAAATGTTAACAGTGAAAAGAACAAATGAAACTTTAGAGTGAAAATATAACAGGTAGCATGAGAAACAGTTTGAATATTGCTGAAAAAGTTGTACAGAAACCATACGATTCAG